CCGGAGAAAACCTACGAGGTTAGACAGGCGACCCTACTCCTTGTCATGTACTAAATGACAGACTTCATTATACAGCGCGCACACGTGCTAACCATTCAGCCATTCAACCCCCCCCCCCCCCATGAAGTTAAGGGATAGACATTGTGCCCGTCGTATTTGTATTAAAGACACATTTCAAAAACTCTGGGTTTAATTTGTAATTTGAAAAACATGACAATGGACTGTCTTTGATGTTTTGCATTATTAGGTACATTAAACACCAACAATACATTAGGTAAAGTCGGCCTCTATTAAAAGTTACAATTTCATATTTTTAAGTTATATTTTTAAAATGTATTAAAATAAAGCCCTAAAATAGATGGTATCTATAAACAGTCCTACCTTGTTAATGAATAATCCTATTAATCCTATAATTTACTATTGCCAGTTGAGAAATTGGCAAAAATATCATTTTGAACTTCAAATTCAAACGTTTGAAGATAGCTATTCCATGGTGGGAATAGGAAAACAAGGGAGGTAATTGGGAGGTAATTGTGTTATTATTTCCGGTGTGAAGAATTTTAAATGTGCGAAAGATAACCTATGATCGTATAATAATGAGTTGACAACCTATAGAGCAAAAGACATAGAAATAATTATGTTTTGACTTTCTTAGAAAATATGAAATTGTAACTTTAATTCGATTGGATCCGAATCGGGAGATTAACTACCGATGACATGTTTGTTGTTTGTTCTTAATTATATGTTAAATAATTAAATTTAGTACATTTTGGCGTGGAATTATCTGTGTGAAAATAATATATTGTTCACAAAATGCGCATGATAACCAGCGGCATTAATTTAATTCAAGAGTCATTTCGCTCAGAACTTAAGGCACTGTCTCAAATAAACGAAGAGCCCAGGAGAAGAACGATCTAAGTCACATTTTTGTCTTTTCGCATAAAACGCAAAACAAACTTTCAAACCCGATGGACGAGAATGCTTGACGCGACAGGGACGCTGTAGATTTAGATCGTTCTTGAACAGAAGGCTATTTCAGAAGGGCCCTGGTTCGATGTGACTCCGATTGTGTTTACCTGAAATTGATTGTTTCACAGAAAGCTTATACAATTTGCTACCTGATGGCGCCATTAACTGGAGCTCATGGAAAAAGTGACTTCCCCTGGACTCTTTAAATGCTTTATATTTACATTTCGTCATGATTTAAACTGAAATAGGGTTTAATGTCCTACTGTTTTCTGCCCTAACCTGGCTTGTGGACATTTATTAAATGTTTAAAACAATCTATATACATTGGTGAAGGGCGGAAGGTCTGACACAAAGCAGAGTCTAGTTGTTCGAATGGTACGCAAACCTTAGGACCCGTTTACAAATTGGCGTACGCCCGTCCTTATTAGTCCAGTCCGTACATAAACGGAGGACGTTAAACCCAATTTCATTTCATTTCTATACAGTTCAGTAGTTGATATAACAGTCAGATAGGAAGCAGGGTTTTTTAACATTGTAAGACGAAAAATAAACTGAAACGAAATATGGTTCAATGCCCTACACAATCCGGAATAATGACAACGAGACCCACAATTTAAAATAACGGTAAAATAATTATATAATTTATTACAGTCTGTATTTCGATCTGATTCTTGGGTTCCAGCCAAATGTCTAAGTATTATATAAAATCAATAACAATTTATTCGACCATTTTATTATAGCTATGTGTGTGAATTATTAAGCGCGGTGGAAGAACGATTATTCATATCAATTCTTTTAAAGTGGCTTTCAGAAATAGGCCTACACAAAAATTCGGGCCTGATTGTGAAAGCATTTGACGAAGATAAAATAAACGTCTCAAAAGCCAATTAAAATGGCGTTCGAGTTTTTCAAGGTAAACACATTGACCCATGTCTTGAAATATACAAGCAAAACAAAATGGTGTTCGAGCTTTCCAGGTAAACACATAGGCACGTGTCTTGAAATATGCAAGCAAAACAAAATCGTGGCTGCCAACTTTGTGGATATGCGCTATGTGGTAAAATCGAGATTTGTTTTTTTTTATACAATACCATCGAACATTTATTTTATTTTGTAAAGAATGATTTTGTATTCTTGTTGAAATTCTTATAAGGTATTTGAACATGCCATTTGATATCTGCATATTAGATATCTGGAAATGATATCTGCATGTTAATAAGGGATATGTAAATAAGGGATATATGTTAATACGGGATATGTTAATATGGGATATGTTAATATGATATATGTTAATATAGGATATGTTAATATGATATATGTTAATATAGGATATGTTAAATGATATATGTTAATATAGGATATGTTAATTTGGGATATGTTAATATGGTATATATTAATATATGATATGTTAATATGGTAATATGGGATATGTTAATATGATATATGTTAATATAGGATATGTTAATATGGGATATGTTAATATGGTATATGTTAATATGGGATATGTTAATATGTTAATATGGGATATGTTAATATGGTAATATGGGATATGTTAATATGGTATATGTTAATATGTTAATATGGGATATGTTAAAATGTTAATATGGGATATGTTAAAATGTTAATATGGGATAATGGGTAGGTTAATATGGGTCATGTTAATATGTTAATATGGGATATGTTAATATGGTATATGTTAATATGTTAATATGGGATATGTTAATATGGTAATATGGGATATGTTAATATGGTATATGTTAATATGGTATATGTTAATATGTTAATATGGGATATGTTAATATGGTAATATGGGATATGTTAATATGGTAATATGGGATATGTTAATATGTTAAATGTTAATATGTTAATATGGGATATGTTAATATGGGATATGTTAAAATGTTAATATGGGATATGTTAATATGATATAGGTTAAAATGGGATATGTTAATACTGGATATGTTCATATGTTAATATGGGATATGTTCATATGTTAATATGGTATGTTATCTTAATATGATATCTGAATTTGAAATTTGAATATGATATCTGAATATGAAATTTGAATATGGTATTGAAATATTAGATATCAGCATATATTATGATATTCGAATTTCATATATATATTGAATATGATAGAATATGAAACTAAAACTATATGTAATTCATGGGTTAAAGTGATCAGGCATCTTTAAGATAGAAGTTCAATTAGTTCCAGACTATTTACTTACAGTCCCTAGGGTTATCTCCCCACATGACCCAATGACCCCGTTATCTACACCAACTCACAATAGTTCAATGATTTAATAATAATGTGTAGATAACGTCTTATTTAATTTTAAATGTCTGGAAGGGAACCATTTTATTTTTATCGTCTCTACTAATAAAACTAATAAGATTTCTCTACTTTCTACGATGTTCATTGATGAAATTCCTGTATAGTAAATTTCGGCTTCCATTATCAGACACCGCACTTAGACGATTCATTATCTATTTTATTAGCGATCATAAGCAATTTATTAATAACGCATCCAGTACAGAATAGAATATCGTATATTCATTTATAACCTGTCTAGAATAGAATATAACTTCATTGATATGTGTCTGTATGTAGACGCGAGAGAGAGAGCGAGAGAGGGAGAGAGAGAGCGATGGGGTTTAACGTCCTCTCGACACAAACTAGGTCATTTCGGGACTAACATATGGTTTTGATTTTATTTACATAATTCGCTTGCGCGTAGGGATCTTTAGCAGTGGGAGGAAACCAGAGGACCCGGAGAAAACCCACGAGGCTGGACAGGCGACCGTACTCCTTGTCACGTAAGACCGGGGATTAAAAACCACGTCAGTTGACTAAATGACAGGCCTGATGATACAACGCGCACCTGCTAACTATTCAGCCATCCGATGATCTAGCTATTACAGATAATATTTATACTAAGCCTGTATTGAGTTAATCTATTTATACTGGAAGAGACGTGGCTTCAATCCCAGCATCCCCATCCTCGTGGGTTTTCTCCCACCGCTACAGTCTTATACGTGGAAAAATGTTTATACCTGAGGCGCCATATAATTATACGGCGCCTTTTATACTACGCCTTATATTGGTTAAAATATTTAACCTGAAATGCCCCAGTGTTGAGAAATTGATATTATGCGTTATATATGCATTAGCTCTATGAAAGGAGTCTGGGATATTGGTTAAATTATACCATAATTTATATTGAATATATAGATAGCCGACTTTTAAGAATTTGATAAGTGCAAAATACGTCATCCTGTAAAATTAATGAAATAATATTAGATATTAAATAAACGGCCTATCTAAAATGAAAAAAAAAACCCCAAAAAACAGCATTTTTCAATACTTTATATTTATTTACTGGGGGGGGGGTACATAATTTATATAATAATTGTGAAAATAATTTGTTTTGTGAATGACGTAATATATCTGTTGTGTATATAATAACCGTTTTGTGAATGACGTAAGTTGTCTATATAATAACTGTTTTGTGAATGACGTAATATATCTGTTGTGTATATATAACTGTTTTGTGAATGACGTAAGTTGTGTATATAATAACTGTGGTGAGATGACGTCATATATGTGTTTTATGATTGACTAAAGCAGTTTATTGGAACTAGGCTTTAGGTAATTTCCATCAGTTTTGAACCCACGAACGAACGAATGTAGTTCTCGCTATTTATATAGTTAGGTCTCCCTTCTTCATTTTCGCACGTTCAACATACCAATATCTGTTTACATTGAATTTACATTTTCTGTCAACTTGCTCAATATAAATGATATTGTATTGTATTGCCTTACATTGTATTGATTGTATTGTATTGCATTGTATATATTGTATTGTATATATTATATTGTATATATTGTATTGTATATTGTATTTGATTGAATTGTATATTTGGTATTGTACATTGCATTGTACTTTGTATTGTATTGTACATTATAGTGCACATTGTATTGTATTGTATTGTATTGCATTGTATTTATTGTATTAATTAACACTTACCTTACTGACAACCATTCATGTTCTTTGACAAAATACCTGTCAATAGAGAGATATAACGTATACGTACTAAAAGATATTTTCTGTCACAATTTATCAACATTTGTTATGCCTGAATATCTATTTCATTAATAAATTTAATAACTTTCTGGTCAAGCTCGTTGTAATATGCGTTTTCTAATATTTTTAATGTAAATGCTTAATCATATATTTTATTAATAATTCTAATATGATGTCACCAACATGATTTAGTACGTACAATGCTTCCAGCAGTTTTCATATGTTTAATAATTTACATAATTCTAATTAACAACGTTTTGATATCCTAGATTAAATGTCTCTGGTGTATCGATCTGTCTAATCGATAATCAGTTGATTAAATTATTTAAAAGGCCGAGGGGCGGGGGACACAGTGGTTGCGTTGCTAGGGCATTGGTCCATGCTATTGAGTCAAGTGGGGTGGTTTTGATTTCCCGCTTGTACTGGCAAGGAGTTACTTCGCCTGCCTACACTCTAGGATTTTCCCGGTTCCACCAAAATGACCTAGCTTATGCTGTCTGGATCGCAGTTAAACCCCTTTTTACCATTATTCCATAATGGTTATCGTGCATTCGACAGTGTGTGCGTAATCTTTCTAGAAAATCACATATTATTTTCCGATAACCAGTATCGGAAGAGTTGACACATCTACCAATATCACCGCCATAAAGCGTATCTGGCTCTTAAATATAGAACTTTCTCATTAAAGCCATGATGTAAAGTACTCATTTAATGCAAAATTTTCTAATCAGTCTTCCATATCGGGGACATTCCCAGGAGACGGCACTGTTTGCAATTTCTCCGTCACCTGGGACACTATTACGTTTAGCTTTGATGATAATATAGCCAGACTTTACCGCGTTAATGTTCAAATTAAATATATCTGATCCAAGCCGAGAGTTAGATGGGTTTTTTCAAGCCCAGGACAAAGCTTTGAAAAAAGGGAAGCCTATCAGTTTTACTGGATTTGGCTAGTTTTTGTCATATCATAGAAGAGGTGTAATTATGACCATTGTTCCATCTGACAAACATGTTCAACAGATTATTAATTTATTTCCCCGTCTGAGCAACCACTTTGTATATTTCTACTTTGATATATATGAGTAAAGATATACACACAATGATTTCATGACAAGCGAGAAACTCGTGTCGTTGTTGATTACTGAAATGACCATTCATATGTCAGTGGTTCAGACTGGATTACAGAGAGGGAGAGAGAGAGCGAGAGAGAGAAAGAGAGAGAGAGAGAGAAATGGGGCCTTAACGTCCACTCGACACAAACTAGGCCATTTCGGGACGAACATATGGTTCAGTTTTATTTCAATAATTCGCTTGCACATTGGGTTCTTTAGAAGTGGGGGGGGGGGACCGGAGGACCCGGAGAAAATCCACGAGGTTGGACAGGGTCGTTTGACTAGTCTCGTTGGTTTTCTCCGGATCCTCCGGCCTGATCCCACTGCTAAAGAATTGTTGAAATAAAATTGAACCATATGTTAGTCTCGAAATGTCCTAGTTTTCAAAAACAAATTGAGAAAAAATACAGTCAGAATCAAAATACCACATTTCAAATTTAATCACTTTATTGTTGATGTATTTTATTTATTCATTGGGGACAGTGTGTGTGGGGGGGGGGGGGGCGAAGGTTTCCATAATAATTAATTTAAAAGGTGTTTCTAGGGAAAACATATCGACTCAAGAGCAATAACTGTACAAATGACTTAATCCTTAAAGATGGATGTCACTTTTAAAATAAGAAATTAACAAAAGTTTAGTAATTACTTCGGACGACGGACACATATGACAACAATGTTAATGTGGGGGTATTATAGTCCACGTCACTGGATGTTTTTAAATCAGTGTTGAAATCAGTTTGTGTCCGCTTACCCTGTATTTTTAAAACCGTGAAACAAACGTAGTGGAGCTTTACCGTTGTGTCAATATCTTTGTATGTATATTATATTCCCGGTTAAGAGTTTACAATATAGGGTTTGTTTGTATGCATATTTAATCTACGCGCAAGCGAATCACAAGGTCTGTCATTGAGTCAACTGGCGTGGTTTCGATTTCACGGTTGTACGTGACAAGGAGTAGGATCGCCTGTACAACCTCGTGGGTTTTTTACGGGTTTTCACCGGGTTCCCCGGTTTCCTTCCACTGCTAAAAAACCCTACGGGCAAGCGAATTGTTTAAATAAAATTGAACCATATGTTAGTCCCGAAATGTCCTAGTTTGTGTCGTGTGGACGTTAAACCCCATCTCTCTCTCTCTCTCTCTCTCTCTCTCTCTCTCTCTCTCTCTCTCTCTCTTTGCTTCGCATGTAATAAAGTTCATGTCGGCCACTCATCAAATATTTTTCTCTTTTTTTATCCAATTTTCAATCAAATATAGAATTGAAATTTTTGTTTCCCTGTCCATTAATCTGATTTTTCCATTTATATTTTAGAGACTAACTTGACAGTTGTCATACACATTGTAATTGCACGCGACACGCAAACAATTCAATATAAATGGTTGATATTTAGACATGGTTTCGTAGGATATATTCCGACACTGTTTCGTATAAATAATGAGATTGGACAGTTTTCTCTTCAGATAATACGACATAAAAACATTTAAGTTTTTTCGGATATCTTATATTTATAATCATCAACTGTAGACCGATCAATCACAATTTAGTAGAATTACTTCCAAAATGAAACAGGTCGGGCCGCTTTGCCCTTCATGGACACTGAAAGTACGAACGAAACAGATCAGGTCGCTTTGTCATTGCTGTACATTGGAAGTATGAAAGAAACAGACCAGGTCGCTTTGCCCTTGCTGTATATTGGAAGTAGGAACGAAACAGACCCGGTCGCTTTGGCCTTGAAGTACGAACATACGGACACGTAACATTATTAATCCAGTGCAAAAGCTATAAATAGCATTTGTCTCACTTCCCTTTTCCGCTCTTTTCTAGGATGATTTTTTGGTATAGAATCGAGGAAAAGAGTTTGTCACACTGATCAGCAGTGAATTTTCGCTAGGCCGCTACAATCACTGATAAGGATGACATCGATGCGACTTAATGAGCCAAAAATATTAACTTTTTTCCTGCGACAAATTAAATTCTAAAACATTTTTTTTATGTATTGTAAAAATAAATAAAGGCGTTTGACGTATTTGTAGGTTAAAATTATTTCCTATTTAGTGTAAATGGGTATTAAAATGACTAAAAGGCAGCATTCCGCCCGAAGCAGTAACGCACGCGCCATTCAGCCAATGATTGACCCCGCATGCTGTGACGGCACGTGTTAAGGCAGTCATCTTTGACAGAGATATTACTGACTCGTAATTCTCTGTGAAACAGATTGAGGGTTTGTATGTACATTTTCTGTCAGGTTTTGGTGAATATTCATGATCTTGAGGCGGAAGGATAAGAGAGGGTGGTTACGTTGAATTGTAGCGTCGACGGTTGCATGTTTACTATCAAGATTTGCACGTGAACGTCATACATGCTTTTGCGCAAGAGGTTGCCACATGTTGCTCGGTCTGTGGTAGAAAGCGTTCAATCTCACGAACCTTTAGGAGCTGGTCAATGAAACGAGAATTATCATTAGAGGCAATGGGGAAATTAACGGTGGGCTGTGTCCAGACAGATGTTTTATTCAAAAATTCAGTTTTTAATAAGACCCATTCCAAACTACAATATTTTAACAGTTGATTCACTAATAGGAATATTATTCATAAAGATATGTTGAATTGAAATTTAATCGATCAATGCTGCTCAATATGTAAAGGAGAGAAAGAGAGAAAGAGAGAGAGAGAGAGAGAGAGGGTGTTAACGTCCACTCGACAAAACTAGGTCATTTCGGGACTAACATATGGTTCAATTTTATTTCAATAATTCGCTTGCGCGTAGGGGTCTTTAGCAGTGGGAGGAAACAGGAGGACCTGGAGAAAACCCACGAGGTTGGACAAGCGACCCTACTCCTTGTCACGTACAATCGGGGATTCGAAACCACGCCAGTTGACTCAATGGTAGACTTTATGATACAGCGCGCACACGCTAACCATTTAGCCATCGTAAAGGGAGCTATGGTGGCTAGGTGGTTAAGACGCTGGCTCACTAGCTTGGAGGTCGCGTGTCCGATCCCTGCATTGGCCGAGAAGGTTCATCGGGATTTTCACGGGTGACTTTCCCTTGTCAGTGATGCAGGACGGAGGGTCTGACAAGGACAGCTGTCTAGTAGCTCGGACGGTGCAAAACAACCCAGGTCCCGGGTACACATTGGCGTGCACGTAAAAGAACCCTTGGAAGTTGGAATTCGATATAAGAGTATTGAACAGGGGATACACGGAATGGAACCGAATTGAATTCCAGCTGTCGAGGTTAATTTGCTTATACCGTATTTACATTTAAAAGATGATACACTGAAAGTATTGACATTTCATAAAATATCGCGATATAGTGATTATATCGCGATATTTCCAGGAATATCGCCCAGCTCTAGTCTTGAGGACAGTTTTGGGTGTTTTATGTTTTATTAGCCATGAGCTTTTTAATTGTAAGGAATATGTGTACACTCTAATGTAGAACATAACTTGTACATGTAATCCAAAGATATTAAAAGTATTTACAGTAAAGAAAAAAATTTCCCCTTGGATTTCTTCAAAATTCTATTTTTGCTTGTACATTTGAAATCAACAAGAAAAATTTTGCTTGTCTGTTTTCAAATAAAGTTCTATCCCTGGTCTACGGGACTAGGGTTTTCGTCATAGGCTCCTGATCAGCCCCTTCGTCTTGCAACACTGACACGGGGACAAATCCATGGAACTTTCTTGACCAACGTCAGGATCAACTGCCAAGCTTAAAGTGAGCCAGAGGGAGTGTTGGATGGCCGAATGGTTAGCATGTATCACAAGGTCTGTCATTGAGTCAACTGGCGTGGTTTCGATTCCCCGTTTGTAAGTGACAAGGAGTAGGGTCGCCTGTACAACCTCGTGGGTTTTCTCCGGGTTTT